AATTATGAACTTCAGAGGAAGCTTACTCAATATTCCTTATGGTTCTAGATAAAAAGTGTCCACTCTTGCTGACAGTCAGCTGTCATGCAAGTGAGAAGCAGATGGGCTTTCGCAGCTCCTTCTCTCTGCGTCAGCAGGCTGCAAGTGCTGGAGTTTGCAGGAGAGTCTGTAGCTTTGAGAAAAAAATCAATGCATTGTGAAGAGCAAAAGAGAAAATCCCCTTAATTGTAATTATAAAATTAAAAGTTTCTGTAAACTAGCAAGGCAGATCACTGCATCAGAAACCCATGCATGTTATAAGAGCTACCACATCCACATTTGTGTTTTCATTATTTTGTTCAAAAATCCTTTCTGAGTCATCTAAATCCTTTACACACGCACTCTCCACACCTGCTGGCAACAGAAGCGTGAGCTGATCCAATACAGCCCTGTGCTTCTCACACTTGCTTAAAATACTTGTGTTAGAGTGCAGAGCTGGCTACAATGCACCAGAAAACTATCAAATGTCCTCTTTCAGAAAACAAGAAGTTCATGGAAAAAAAATCACAGCCTGCAGATTTGAACATAATGGCTCAGACTTTAACATCCACCGAAATCTGTTGAGATAGATTTAAATAGTTTGGGATTAGGTCTATAAGTATCTGCAATGTCACTGGGAGGAGAACACTGACAAGAGAGCATTTTCTTCTTGGAGATCAGTATTTGATGATGGGAATTATTACTGTGCCAGATACTAGTACAAATATCACTTCTGGGCCTAAAAAAAAAGGTAAATCAGCTGGTTTGTTAAAAATACACTGGCTCCATTTAAAAAAGTACATCTATCACGTAGCTATTGGAAGTGATGCCTTAAAGTTAATAAACCAACTAATAAAAAAGTTACCATAAAAAGATTTGCTGACCAAGGAGCAATTGTCTCAGCTGCTAAGACATTGGCAGTCCTTCCACAATTCACTTAAAATAAATGAACATGTCCTTGTATTTCTTAAGCCAAGTCCATGGTCTAAAGCAATACTTTACAGGGTCGGTAGAGAAGCTTAATCTCTCCCCATTTTGTACCAGTGCCTATCACCACACAATGCATTTGTTTCTGCAGAGAAGAAAGGAGTTGAATGATACCTTGCACATAACTTCTCAGATAGGTTTAAAATTGCATTAGGAATAGAAAAGAAAGCGGTCTCTGGTTTCCAGCTCCAAATAATTCTCCACAGGAAGCTCCCATTGATCTAAGATGTATGCTCTGCTAGGTGAGCTGAATTCTGTGTTTAATAGCTTGTCTGCAGCTGAAACATATATCCAAAGCATTGGCCAGTTTACGTACCTTGGAAGATCATTGCTTCTTTTAGCCCGTTACAGCTAACAGAAAACACAATGACAATTTGCATGCATTGCCATTCCTTATGCTACCAGCACTGACCTTCACACAAGACAAAACAGAACAAGCTATCTGAATGTCCTCTAACAAAGCTATTGAGTTTGGGGAGAAGGTAAGAGTTTGTTATTGTTTTATTTTGGCTCACAAGAAGAACCAAAGTCAAAGCAACATTGGTAAAAAAAAAAATATAAAAACCACAAACCACAGCATTCCTTGCTAAGTGTTCTTCCTTGAACTAAATATTTAAGAAAAATATGAAGAGTTAATTGTGCTGAAATTCCTCAAGTGTTAAAAATGTCATCAAACAAGATACAACAAAGCTGCAAAATCCAATATTTAAATGCTGGGCTGAAATTAATTTCCTAGGGTTTGTCAGTGTGGTAGGCTCCCATTAATCTCTTAGTGTAACTGCTTAACGTCAGAGCCGGTCTTAAAAGTCCAGTGCTTTCCATTCCTATCTGACACACCTGATATTCATAACAGTAACTGATGGAAAGATTAACCTCGCAACTTTAGCTGTCTAATCGCCTGGGCTCCCTATACAGTCTAAAAAAAGATGTCAAATCCACAGGCCCATCCCATCCCTTCCAGCCCACCCTCAGCATCAAGTGCCCTCGAGGTGACAGTCTCTTCCACTGCCTACCAAGAGAACCAAACCGGTGATGTCCATAACTAGTAAATGAACGGGACAGGTAAATTAAATAGTAAATGAAAAACATGCTTGAAAAGGCATGATTACAGTCTGTAATCATAGAATCATAGAATCATGGAATGGCCCGGGTTGAAAAGGACCTTAATCCTCCACACTGTTTGAGTATTAGCCCACTTCATGGCACCATTTTGGCCTGTTCCAGCCAACATGCTCTGAAGCAATGCCAGGCATGGTTGGGGGGACAGCACTAATCCAAGGCCATTCCCAGTCAGCCATCTGGATGCAGACACTCTGCTGGGGGGGGAAGGGGAAGAGAGCTTAGCCATGTAGATGTGAGCCACAAGTGCCACAGGACTGTGCCTGCCCTACTTTATTTACTAGTATAAGTGAAGACACTTCAGATTGCATTCTCAAATTCTATCTGTCTAAAGCCATGTGAAATGAATCTATTCTCAACCACACAAAAACAAAACCCCACCTCCAAAAAAACCTGTGAAGCCTGCTTGCTGGTCACTGTAAAAGCCTTAAGTGCTGCTGTACACTTTTACTCTTCTATGTCAGCTGTTACTAAATCAGACCCCACTCTTTTCATTTTTGGTGGCTTTGTTTGCACACCAGCAGAAGAAGAAAGGAAGAAGCATAGAGGGAAGCATTCCACCCTGGGTGAGACACAGCAACAAGCTGTGCTACCACTGCCTGGGCACTTCTACTCACACAACGGTTTGGCAGGAACAGCCCAGCATCTGGTACAAGGTACTACAAATAACAGCAAGGAAACAGATACCTATACATGTTCTGTCTTGAAACAAATACTAAACTCAGCTAAAGAACAGCGTATTAGGCATCACTTTTGCCTCAGCATTTATGATTGATTGTCCAGTAGTAAGGATAGTGGCTCCTTGAGCAACTCACCCTAACTAGCTGCTTTCCCAATTATAAGCCATCTGTGTTTGCTCAACATAATCTAGGCAGATGCTACATTCTCTGATATTGTTCTAAGAATTGAGAAAAAAAAAATTATTTTCAGAAACTATCCAAATGGTGAAACTCAGCTTTGACCCCTCAAGAAAGAACTGGGGTCACTGAGCACACTGACTGCAGTCAGCTCACACCTTGAGCTCAAGACACCAAGATGACAGGATACAGATGGCATATATACGAACTCAGTGACAACTCAGCATTTTCACCAAAGTGACCTGGAGAAAAAGTGAGGGTCCTGCAGTCTCCATTGCCTCTAACTTCCATTCACCAGAATTTAACTATTGGAATCCAATTTACACTCCTATGGCTCCAGGGAGTTGGTCACTTAAGTTATTTGATTATTTTTTTTTTAATAAATGGCATTTAGAATAACCTAGATGAAATTAGGAATAATTTTTCAGAATATTTTTTTATTTTTATTTTTTGGTCTGATCATTTTTCTGGTACTTCATCAAAAGAGCTATATGCCTGCATGTTAGTTACAAACTGAATTATGTACTAGCATCAAATTAACAACATTGGAAGCTAAAAGGCTTTGGTAACATCAAGAATATTAAAAAAGGCACTCCACAGTGTGTTGTACCAGAACTGTATCTTAGTTGGAAGAAGTAGTAATGCTGTATGACAAGGTCAGTGTTCATATGCTCATTCATATTTCTTGACCTTTGTCAAGACTCCCAATAAAAACAACTTTGTAAGAACCCTTATGATGTGAGCGCTTCCCCATGAGCATCTGCATGGAGAATTCCAGGCAGTACATTACAAAAAGAGACATCAGAAGAACAGGCTGTCAGATTCTGACATCATGGTCAAAGATTCACATAGGGGCTTGAACTCTACACATCTCACATGCCTGAATTACCAGTTCCCTGAAACTTCTAATATGCATGGAAATCCTGTGTAGCTGGTTTAAAAAAAAAAAAAAATTTGAATTCTCATTTCCTCTCAATTAGAATTAATCTACTTGAGTAAGTTAATAAGGCTTCATAAAATGGGATGTTCTGTGTAACTTCTAACACAATTAAATATTAATAAACTTCTGTGGGAGCAAGATCAATGGAGTACAAAATGTCTTCCTGAATTTTATCTTGCAACATGTCATTTTAACCAGTTACATATTTCTCTATAGTCTGTAAGAAGTTTTATACAGCAGAAGAGCAATAAAATCATGCAGAAAAGTCACAACATTTATAGAATAAAGAAGTGTGTGCATCTCCTGCTCAATTTCAAGAATGGATTCCTCTGTAGCCTAAAATAAATAACAATTGCATACACAATACATGCCTACAATGAACCTGAAGTACTATATATAGTCCATCTAAGATAGTTACTAACCTAAAATTCCCCTTCTCTGGCCCTATTTGCACCAAAACCAAAATTCTATAAAACTAGAAGTAAGCACCTGTCTTAACTGACAATATTAAATTACCTCTATCCAGTTTCTGGTATAATTCTGTCTGACCTTTTGTGAAAGAACATTTCTACGTGTCTGGTTTTTGCTGGTCTCTTGGGTCTACTAAGAGATTTCTCTTCCCTTAATTGCAGAAGAAAAAACATAAATCTGAACCTCCATTTCTAGCACTACAACATATGGTTGAAAGTACATTCTTCTTGAGAAAGAGGTGTTAGAAACAATGATCAAAACAAATACAAGGTAGTTGCTCTTGAATTTCAAGAAGTTTTGTTTAAAAGATAGACTATGGAAGTCTGGAGAAAGTTTTTTTAAAACTTTTTATTTTTAAACATTGATAAGAACTATCTATGCTTAAAGAAAAACACAACTAAAATAAAAACAATGCCTGCAACTAAAAAGTGAAAATGTTCTGGTTATCGATTTCCCAAAATATTTCAGGGAAATCTAAATTCACTCATTCCTTAACCCAAATATTTCATTCCCCAACCAGTTCTTTCACTAAGATGTTTGCAGAAAGGTTTTTTTTCTTCACAGATTTCAAAATATTCATTAGAAGGAAGTACCACAATAGAACTTACATTGACATTCTTTGCAGCACTTGCCATCCACGTACGCCAGGGCAGAGTTAAGCGGGCAGCCAGAGAGGGGGCAAATTAAAGCCTCGCACTGCACAGTACCATTCTAGAAGAACAAAACATGCTAAATTGGTAGCTATATTTAGCAAGAACAGAGATGTTCTCAAACACAGGAACTTAAAATCTATTTTTAAATGCAACAAACTCTCTAACAATACCCAGAAAGACATTTCAAGATGGTTCTTTTAATAACTACAAGAATAGAAGCTATACCTTTAGAATATCATCCATGCAATATTTTAGACATGTATGATGTGTTCTTTGAGATTATAATGATCTACGATTTTTTTAGAGGCAAATCTATTTGGAGGTAAAACATTCTGCCAATCAGCAGCAAACTGACAGATTAGTGTGAAATAACAGCCTCACAGAACAATACTCTATCTTCTGACTTTTACATGAGACAATACATTTCTAAAAGGTAATAATATCATAGCTGCAAGAAAAACCTGAGACAAAAATATGTGATGCATTTAACACTAAATTCAAAGCATTTTTAAATAGCTAGCAGCAGATTTGATACCATGGACAAAGTCGTCTTCCAGACAACTACAAACTCTAGCAGCAAAACTAACATACCTCCAGAAAAATAAAGATCAAAGTGATACTAAGCTTAAGGAGAACCATTTAGCAAATTACACATAGCAGCAAATCGAACTAAGGTGCAGTACAGACCACAACAGCCTTTTCACCAAATTCCAATGTCCTTTGGATTAGGCATTTAATGAGTTCAAATTGAATTAATAAGTTTTAAATGAACGGACAATAACAAAGATGCTATGGTTTCGTACCTGAAAGGATACTTGCAATTGCTTCTGGAGTTGTGATACGTTTGGGAAGCTTCCATCTACCCAATAAATAATTTTCATTTGTGATATAATAGAGCAGGCATATGACCCTGACATTTTACTCTTTATTACTTACTGAGACGTATCCAAAGGCAACTAAAGGGAATCATGCACAAGGGATCTATTAAATCATTTGCTAAGAAAAAGGCTGTGTTTATAGTGATAAAAAGCGGGGAATTATCCAGAGAAAGTATTTGCAACTCAGTGCATGGGAATACCATGACACCTAAGTATATCGCACAGCATCTGCCTTTGGTGACATGAAATACAGGAGAGCTACACATGCAGGCACTGCTGAAACAATAGGAAAATGTATTTATTAATACTATTCCTTAGATTTAGAACAGGTTTTCTAGAACTTTGTTGTTACTATCTAGCATACACCTGGAAGTTCTCATTAGTTGTCTCAGTAAAACTAGTCAGAGGAAGCATTTGAGTTCCTGAGTCTCTACTCAAACTGTAGCCATACCATGCAAGTGCAGTTCTTACAGCCATCTGTCCAGGATTCGAACTCTCTGTAAGTCGTGCCTTTCATTGTGCAGGTCCTTTCACAGTAGCACTGATCCAACTTGTTCATCCTCTGCTCAGCTTGGGATAACTGTATTTATAGTTCACAGAAAAGTTTTGAATTTGTAAGTGGTTTCCACGTTAGTATAAACATGATTGAAACTGTCCCCCCTTATCATCAAGCATGCAGATGACAGAATACTTGTAGGAAAATGCAAAGATAATAAAACAACTATTGTCAAATACAATATGATTAAACCATCGGTCCATCACTCAGAGATGGAAATTAAGGAGCAAGACAATGCACTTCATCTTTCACTAATAACATCAGGGACATCATGAAACAAAGTGAGTAGATCAAAATGCGTATGGCCCCTGGTTTCTCATCTCTGTATGTGGGAACTGGCCAAAACTCCTGCTCTACATCAACTGCTTGCAGATATCGGGTTATGGGCAAAAGACCTGAATCTGAGTAGAGAGGCAAAACTGGAGGTAAAGCTCAAAGCCAACATGTTAGCAGTTGTTCCTCCACTTCAATCAAGGCATTTTTATAATTTGTGTATCAAATTAGCCAGGTTTTCCTGCAGACATCTAAATAACTAACAACTAAAATCAGAAGACTAGTCTATGTTCATCAGCAGACATGAATGCTTTTGGTGTGATATTCCACGGTGGGCGGAGTGGGGAAAAAAATGCCGCTTAAGATTCTTGATTCCTTATCTCACATGTCTGAACACTCCTTTGGCAACTCAGGTCTAGAAAAGTCTCGGACCAATAAATCCCACTGCAATAAGCACAGTAACCTACTTCATTCCAGGCTCATTGACTTGTTAGCCTGATAGACAGACCTTGAATGTCTTGAATTTCCTTGCTTGGGGATTTGGATTCTCTTTACTATTATAAGATATGATTCTATAAAAATATTAAAACACAAAAAAGCTCACTGAACTGGGAATTTTTATGTATAGACACCAGGCACAGATATGTAAATACAAACATATAAACACAACATACAGGGATGCTCTGCACACACCCACATGCACATCCCTATTTATGCACAAATAATCTAAACCGACATCAATTAAAGCCTTCGAGTCCTCGCTTCTCCCATGCCATGCCTCCTAGTAAACGTTACCTTAGCTGATGTTTTGGCTAAAATGTCTTGCAGTTCCATAATTTTCTGCACAAGTCCATGGAAGTCATTACAAGTTGGGCACGCTAAAATAACAAAATACGTATATTAATAAAAAAATGTATTCACAATAGGTTCAATCATGTCAAAGTTGACAACCAATACACTGAAACTCAAGGTTTTAAGAAAGCTTGTAGGACAGAAAGTAGGTACAAAGCACACCTTTCATTTTATGGTATAAGAATTAATAGACTTACTGCGATTAAGATCTGGGCACTGAGAAATAAATCCTTGAGGCATGACAAGTAACTGCACATCTTGCATTATGCCCTACGTGTAAATGAAGAGAAAAAAAAAAAGAATACATTATTTTTCCCTGTCAAGATTATGTTTTCCATTCACCATGTAAAACATTAAAGCCCACACAGAAAAACTGCCTGATACAAACAATGCTTATGAAAACACAGCTTCTTGCCTGGACCCAATGCAGTGAGAGAAGAATAAAGGGAAAGTAAAATAGATAGATGTACAAATACAGACCTGCTGAATCATTTTTAAAGATATAAGAACCAAATCATTTTTAAAGACATAAGATTAAATGTTAAGATGTAATTATGTGGCAAAAATTTGGTTGTTTTGAATTCATTGTCATTTTTAGTTAGCCATTGCAGAAAAGCTTGAAAATGACCTTTACAAGTAATTTGAAAAACAGTTGCAGCTTCAGTTACTTTGAAACGCTCTTTTAAATAAAATGCAAATTTTTCACTAAGCTATAACTGTCAAATAGAAGTGAAGATTAAAGAAACGGGAGTCAGGAAAAACACATTCATGCAAACCCTTTATGATTTCGATGGGGATCTTTCCATAAAGCACGCAGAATGCCAAGAAATTACACAACTGTTACACAGCTGCAGAGTCACATGTTGTCAAGAACTTAGGGAAAGTTTAGCATGAAATTCAACCATGCCATCTGGAAAGGGTCAGTTTCACCCAGAAGAAAAGATGCCATGCTTGCAGACAGAATTTACATGCATCCTTAGTCATTGAGATATAATTATTAGCCACTTCCCTGCTCTCCAAAAGCAAAGGTCAAATAGCAATTTCAAAGTGAGCCATCCTATCACATTCTCTCCAGATGTCCCTTTCATCCATGACTCCCTTCCTGCATCTCCAAAGCTCCTTGTTAGGAGGAAAAGCAAAATAATTACAACATGCTTCAGTATGCTTATGAAGAGAACATTTCACGACACTAAGAACACAACGCAAACCAAATGCAAAAGTCCACAATTCATCCACATACACAAGGCATTCAATACAGATGTTGCAAAGACAAAGAACCATAATTTTGACTTCAAGCGAATGACTCATGGTGACTTACCAACCTAAGTGGCCTGCAGAAGAGAGCAAGTGTCACTGGAGGGCAACTAAGAATGTACTTAAGTACCACACCTACCCTTCTCCCTTAACAACAGAGCTACAATCTAGCGCAGCTGGATGCTCCCCCACTCTGCACAAGGAGATGCAGTGATTAGCTAATAGAAAAAAAAAATAGGTGTGCTTTCCATCAGGACCTCCCACAGCACGTGTTCTGGAAGTCAGCAGCACAGGCCTCTTTGAAGAGCACACCAAAAAGCTCACTGTATTAATTTCTCCTTTCTTCCTTCCTTGGCGTCATCAGCTTCAAACTCACGTCAACTCGAGTTATGGCATTTTCACGAAAAGAAGGAACAGCAGAGTCCAACCCATTCAAGTTTAAAACACTCTTCACTTAACACACTGGCAAGTATTCAAATCATTTAGCTATTAACTAACAGTAAAGCTCCTCCAGCTCTTTGAGGAGCTTTATTCATCATACATCAGCTGTGATATGAGCTGACTCTGCCACTTGCCATTAATTCAGGTTCCTTCTCATTCTCCCAAAGCAGCAACACGGAGCTTTGACATCTAGCCCATCTGGGCTCCCTAATCAGGACCTTCTGACAATACATGAGAGGCTTTGCACAGGCTCCTAAAGAACCCAGTGGTTCAAAGTAACACACTGCTGGATCCTAGCTACCAAGAGATGTTACACGGTACCAGAAATCAGATAGCAGAATTGCTCTCTCAGACCTTAATATGAAACAGGTACAATTATGTCCCACTGTGAATATGCCTACTGGCACACTGGTTTACTGCAGCAATATTAGGTTCAAAATCAAATACAGCCAAATAAAATCTTTTTCAGAGTGATTAATGTTCTTTAGTACCTTGACCCCTCTGGACAATCCATTTAATCCACGCAAAGCAGCCTGATTTTTGGCAATAGCTAAACACTCGGACCTCTCAAAATCAGATCTGTAGTTGTCCCACAGTGAGTGCCTAAAAATATAGCCTCTCCAGAACACTAAGTGTTCAAAATCCTCATCTTCTAAACCGATAAATCCTCTGTACAACAGTGTCACATTTTCACACACGGTTTGACCATTGGTACTAGGTTATACTGGAGAAACCACTTTGCACAGTCTATTTTGACTATTGTCAATGTATCATGTCTATGCACAGCTATCCATTTCTGTATCTCTGTTAAGCTGGTTTATATTTGTAACTGAGGCAAAATTCTCCATATATTTTGTTTAATTTTATCTTTTTTTACAAGAAAGAAAGAAGCAAAAAAATATAGTCTAGTACTGGAATATTTATTTTTCTACGCCTAATGAGCTTCTTCACAGTGACTATGATTTGTTGAAAGAAGAATACAATCAAGTCAAAAACTGAGATAGCACAAAAAAATGAAAGGAACATTTAAAAAGTATTAATTATAAGCATGTAGAATAAATGAAGTGTATCTGAGATCAGTTTAAGCAATGCATTAATGTTTTCCGATTTTATTCTTCGAGTCAACTGTTTATTTAAGCCAGAAAAAAAATTTTTTAGCCTGTTTAGCAGACATCCTCTTAGTCTTTCAGATGAAAAGGAAACATATTGAACTGAAAAATAACAACAAAGTCATGCTTCAGTTTTCAAATCCAAGTGCCCCACTGGACCTCTGTACTTCACACACAACAAGGATATAAATTAGCATTTAAGTATAGCAAACACTATTTCAACACCCAAAAACTGATTTTAGCACAAAAGCACAGAACTTGCTGTGAAAACCAGTCAAAGTACTTTATGCTGAAAAATAAGATTTAGCAGGCCGCATTTTAAAAAGTGATTGGGTCTGTGATCAACATCATCAATTCTATTTTGCAGCTCAAGCAAAAAGATGCCTACTGGGAGGAAAATGGGACTACAGTGTGGAAGGCATCCACAGGGATGCCATCATTTGTTAATGCAGCTCCAGAGAAGACTGAGGTCAAACCACAGACAGCCACTGTGACCAATGAGTGCTACGTAATGGACTCAGAAGAATCCAAAATTTACACTCCGGTTCAACATAGCATTCTCTTCTTCCATCTTGCTGTTCGCCAGGTGTTTGCTATATATACATGTTAAATCAGAAGCAGTAAGCAAAAAAGCATGTACAAATATTCTTCCTCTGGGTGAAAAAGCATTCTCTCCATTGATGCTAGTCATTCATTTCTGAGCAGAGAAGATACTGTGATAAAATCTAAATCCTACAGAGGCAACGAAATTGGAGTTCCCTAGACTGTAGTGTTCTCAGACACACACAAAAAAATGCATCTAGCTATGCAACAGACAATAATCTGACCATTTATTTCCTGGAATTCTCTTGCACTCAGCCATTTACCTTTCCTTGTCTTAGGCTGCTGTTGGCTGTGTCATTTGGTGACACTGAGCCCTATGCATCTAGCTCTGCAACATTATTTAGTGAAGTCCAGTTTAATGGAAACAGAGCTCACTACATCAGAAATGTCGATACACAACATATCACGGCCCTAAGAACTGTGTTATTATTACAGAAGCACAGACTGGTTGTGAGGCACCTCCTGAGATCATCTACTCCAACTCCCCTGCTCAAGCAGGATCAGCCACAGCAGGTTGCCCAGGACTGAAGGGGGCCTACAGGAGAGATGGGGAGGCACTCTTTATCAGGGAGTGTAGTGAGAGGACAAGGGGTAACGGTTTTAAGCTGAAAGAGGGTAGATTTAGACTAGACATTAGTAAGAAATTTTTTACTGTGAGGGTGGTGAGACACTGGAGCAGGTTGCCCAGGGAAGCTGTGGATGCCCCATCCCTGGAGGTGTTCAAGGCCAGGCTGGATGAGGCTTTGAGCAACCTGATGTAGTGGAAGGTGTCCCTGCCATGGCAGCGGGGTTGGAACTCAATGATCTTTAAGGTCCTTTCCAACCCAAACCATTCTATGATTCTATGATTCTATGACTGTGTCCAAACGGCTTTTGAATATCTCCATAATGGTCTTACTCTGATCAGCCTCACAGTAGAACTGTTTTCTTACGGTTGCATGGACTTTCAGGTGTTTCAGTTCTTGCTCATTGCTTCTTGGTCTGTCAGTGGGCACTACTGAGAAGACTCTGGATCCTTCATCTTCATTCCCCCCACACATCCAGGCATTTATACATGTTGATGAGATCCCCCCTAAGTCTTCTCTTCTCTAGGCTGAAAAATCACAGCTCTCTCAGCCTCTCCTCATATGAAAAATGCTCTCTTTTCCTTTCAGGGAATGCATACCTTAAAATAACCATGTGCATTATTTCTCTGTCCCAGCCAAAAGGTTGTACCCAAAGGTAAGTCCATGAAGGGCTTCTCCACAACTCTTTCATAAATTCTGAAAAGGAAGGGAAAAATATAGTCCCAAATTGTTATAATTTCATTTACTCAGAGCTGGAATGTTCCAAAGGTGACAACTTCCTACAAAACAACACTCTTTACTTACTTATTGCAGTCCACATGTAAAATCAAGTGAGAGGCACTGATTGCTAAGGAAAGTCTGTGCCATTTATCATCTGCCAAAATGTATGGGAATACTTCTGTGTGGGAGCGATGACTGCCTGAACGATAATGCAACCTGATTTCATTTCGATGACCGCTGCTTTCCAGCTCCAGGTACCTGTACCATAAATGCATCATCATGTCATGAACCATTCTTATCAGCACAGCAACATTTTACATAACACAACTTTTCATTATCATGCAAGAACTGTTTAAAAAGAGGAGGAAAGACAAGCAAGGAGATACAAAGATGAAAGTAGACACTATTCAGATTGGCACTGCATCCTTCTTCTCAAAGACACATAATAGCAGTTTCCAAATTTAATGTAAGTACACAAGATCCCAGGCCAAATCTTTTTTCCTCTATCAACACTATTCTCCATAACATTATCTGATTGGAAATATAATTACCCTATCATGAATAACTGCCTCATATCCTGAAAGAACAGTAAGGATACTCTGAAGGCGTGAATGTACAAAAGACAACACCAAGTTTTGCAATAAGGACACTATTAGCCATTACCAACCAGGGAACTAAGCAAGAACTGAGACTGAACACTGCTTTTTTGCTTTTGGATGTACTGTTAACATATCCTTTCATTTTTGTAATGAAATTTCTCAAATGAAATATAAAATTAAGAAGTACTAACTCTTCAGAACAATTTCTATATATGTACGTTTGCCTTGTTAAATAAGTATGTGTATTTGAGGGGTGTGTATGTATGTAAATGTATGTACATACATGCATATACATGATAAAACAGCACTGCAGCTGTACCAAGGTAAGTGCAACATACACCAGATTTGCAGATCACAAACAAGTTTTGCTGGTGAAATTCCAGCAGATCAATTTAAAAAGCACCCCAGAACCAAACTTGGTACTTAGTCAGGCCTGTTTCTTGCATATCAGACCTCTTCTGGGAACAACCTTGACAAACCATTTGTCTTCTGTTTCTCATTTTAAAGTCCATCCCCAAAATGCTTTTAAAACAGGAAAGAAAAACAGAAAGAGAGATTCTCTAATAATCCTATGCAACCTACAGCTAAAGAGCAAGGAAAATAACATAGTATGCAGTGAGATGCACAACAACTAGGAGAATGGACAATTCATTTTTGTCTATTTTTGCTGCTGTGTCTGCAATCAGGCATGACAGTGGTTTGTAATCTGAGCGCACACGTGTTTTAGGGTGATGTTGTTTACTTCAATGGCCTATCTATATTAAAGAACAGACAAGACAATGATTGCAGTTTTCAAGAGTGAAGATGAGACCAAATCAAAAACGTCTCCTACAACCATTATCCCCAGGAGGAGGTTGGGCTCACTGCACATCTCTCCTTTCTTCAGGGCATTTCACAGTGGAACATAACTAGCAACAGCACAAAACAACTATCCTTTTGCATAACTGGCAAACAGGTATTTCTTCTTCCTCCCCAGTATTAACAAAGCAGTTATCTAGAGTCAGCAATACATTTTATAATCTGAGATAATTTACCTCCTCATGGCCCAAAAATAATTTTTGCAATGGCAAGAAGTGTAAACTAATTGAAGGCTTGGCTAGAAAAAAATTGGGCAACAGTGGGAGGACATCAGTTAACTTAATAACCTCCTTCATAAATCAAGCTTCAAGGATAAAAATAAAGTCACTCTCAACCTAACAAGGAAGGGGAATATTACGGAACTGGACTCCTTCAGAAACTTTTAAGTGTCTCTACCCAGTTGCAGACACCATCTGGAAAAAGAAAAGCATGGTGTCCTGGTTTCAGCTGGGAAAGAATTAACTCCTTTACAGTAGCTAGTGTGAAGCTGTGTTTTGGATTTGTGCTGAGAAAAAGGCTGATAACATGCCAATGTTTAGAGTTGCTGCCAAGGACAGCCAAGGACTTTTCAGCCACCCTGCTGTGCCAGTGTCTGCAGGTGCAGGAGAAGCTGGGAGGGAGCACAGCCCCAGTTGCTAGCCTAGGGTTCGACCCCAGGTTTAGGATTGAGACGCAAGTCAGCCAGCGGTATCATGTATGTCATGCCCAGTATGTAGATGGAGCTCTGTCCAGAAGTTCTCTCTTGCTTTCTCTGGGTCTCCCCTCTCTTGGGGTCTTCTTACTCCCTCAGTCAGCTCTCGGATGCTCAGCCTCTTGTCTCTTTACCGGGATTGGGGTTTTGGGACTCTTCCTTGCTCTGAGATCATTAGCCAGGAACAAGCTGAGTCCCGGTCCTTGGGTGGTGAGCAGCTGCACTGTGTATCACTCATTTGTATATTCGTACATATAACTGTTATCATTATTAGTATTGGTTTTGTTGTAGTTTAGTTATTAAATTGTTCTTATCTCAACCCATGAGTTTCTTTTCCCTTTACCCCTTTAATTCTCTCCCCCATCCCTGGAATAGGGGAGGGTGAGCAAGTGGCTGTGTGGTATTCGCAGCCACTAGCTGGGTCAAACCACAGCACACAGATATGTTGAAAACATTCCCTCCTAGTAGAACCAATGGCTAGCTCCTACTGTCTTCAAAGTCAATGGCAGATCTGATGGCAGCACACAGAGATGCAGGCAGGCAGGAAACAAGCTACAGCAGCAGACATATAGTCAGTACAGAAGGTATAAAATGAACACTCACGTTGCCCCTTATACAGATGAGATAAGGAAATCTCTGAGAATTAAACATGGATTTCCCAATAAAAACAAGATGTCACTGTAATCATTTCAGGAATTAAGAACTGCTGAGAGAAGATGCTGACATTCAACAATGCTGCAATAAGCAAGGAACTCTTCCTACACAAAGCTGTGCAAAAATTGCGGGCATCCAGGGTTTTGTTGTAACTGTGACTAATGCACTGTTTTGAGATCCACAGGCAATCTCTTTTGTTCTTCCATTTGTTCACTCCATACTAACAAATACATCTACCTTCAAAAGGCTTGATGATTGCTAGAGAAAATGTGCAACAAAATGAAAAAGAAAATAATCGCCATTAGGAGAATTATTAGGAGAATAATTTATGATTTCCTAATAATCTGTAGAGGCAGCAGGAAAACACAATTAGAAAAGCAAGTGGAATGACAGCCAGAACAATATTGCCTTCAGCGTTAACCAATGCCATGACACTTAAAGCACAGGGAAGCTAAAATCAATAATTTTCACTTCATTTTTTACAAAATATTGTGCTTGATATTCCACTTTTCTAGATTTGTTTAGCTGTCTGGACTTAAACAGCTCAAACTCAGTCTCATGAGTTTCAGAAGATAGGACAAGCTGCAGCACTGACTAACTGATATGGGTGGAAATGTGAAGTCTGCCAGCGGTGAGGCTTCTTTGTGCTGTTTGTGAGGTTGTAACACTTCGGATATGTGCTTTCCAAAAGTTGGAAGAGTCTTTGAGAAAGTAAGCTAAGCATTACAAAAATACATCTGGATTTTAAAAATTCATTTATAGCGACAAAAATGCTCTGCACTTCTCTGTACACTCGGGATTACTGAATTTTTGAGACAGAAAGATTGGTTCCTAAAGGACTTACTCCCAAAGGAAGCAATAGCTGCATCGTACTGCGGTCTTCTCCTAACCAAGAATCTCATTACTGAAAAGTTTCAGGGGAACTTTATCAGCTGAATCACTGGTTTCTTGTCTACACCAGCCCAGCCCACCCATCACAGGGAGAACAGCAGCCAAAGAAGTCACAACACTAATGTCACTGCTGCTTCTCCCAACAGCTCCAAGGTGCTATTCTATGCTACAAAAGGCAAATGGCTCTTGAAGAGACAAAATAAACCACAATGAGAAACACAGTACAACAGCAGAACCTGCTTCCCCCTTTACTGACATCCATGATCTCTGTGCTTGTTTAATCAATACCAGCCTACTTGATTTTAAACAGCCCCCCCCCAAAACCACACACATTTTGGGTCAAATGGATTTAATTTCACAGGGAGATGAGGTGTGCTTAAATTTACTATGTTTGACACACAGAGGAGAAAATGCCAACCTGAAAAAAAAAAAGATTGCTACATCTCCATAGACCATTCTGTGCCTGCACAATCATTGCAAAGGCAACAGGCAAAGCCACCATAAGATCAGCTGCTCTGCCTGGAAACCAGCCAGACAGTGATCCCTTACATACAGACTAAGGCTGAACATACCTTCATAAGAGGAAGAAATTTGTCTCTAGTGCCTCAGAGGAATCTGAGACAGAAAACAGTGCTGTTTTCTCTGCTGCCCAGGACTGATCTGTTGTAACTGCTGGATAAGAGTTGAGAGTCAGCAGATCTGCTCAGCTGCAGAGCTGCTACTGCCCATCCGGGCAAAGGGCACGTGGTCTGCATGAGCCTGCGCAGGACCTGCTCTTCAGGCTGCGACAGACCAGCGTGGGGAAGACTGAGGAAGTAGAAATCAAAATGTACAGCAGAAAGCTGGAGATTTAGGAGATGAAACACCAGGTGGTCCTGGTGTACATAGCAACAGTCTTGCAGAGGAGGGAGGTATGGCCCTTCCAGCTAAGGGCCAGTGCTGGTAACACCAAGCCTCCTATGGCTCACTCGCTCATTTGGCATCCCTGCTCACACAGCAAACATACACTGCAGCTGCCCACCATTACTCCAGGTAACTAATAAAAATCTACTTCAATTTACAGCATGTAGACAAATATTTTAGAAGCTAAAGGCAAGATACCATATCTGCTGCTTATTAATTTATTACAAGGTGGGGTTTTATTTAAATGTTTACTACTCACATTTATAGGTAGCATATTAAAAGAGTTCTTCCTGGATCTTTGATCTACACTAAGAAGAAAAGGAAAATCAGTAAAATTAAAGAAGAGTATGCAATTAGGAAAAAAATTAAAATCCTTATCTGCATTGCTTATAAAAATCTTTATCTGAAGATTTTTGATACAAAAGTGTGGGCTTTTTTATTAGATATAATTACACAAAACATTAAAAAAAAAGGATCCTACTCAGTAGAGCTTATTCAGTGCAAGCTATAACAGTGCTTACTATAACAGCAGTAAGCAATTCTGAGGGGTGTAGACCACAAAAACTTAAAACCAATTCATGCCGCACAGCCATCACATTCAGCAATGTGTTATTTGCCGTTTTCCATGGTATGATGACTGGGCAGTCAGGAGTGTGAGCCTT